TTTTTTTTTTTTTTTGTAGTCTAGTCCTTGCTCTTTCATTTGTGTTACGATTTTGGTCTTTTGTATTTTAATTTTTTATCTACTTTATTCGTTCTATATAACTATGGTATATTAAGTGGAGGTAAGATAGGAAGGCCCTACCCAAGGAGAAATGCTGGTTCTGCCATTGCTTGTGAAGGTTTTTTCCTCTTGTGGAGGTTTTTTTTTTTTTTTTAAAGTTTTATGCATTGACTTTTTTGATACTTTTTTATCAAGATTCGCTCTTGTTGGAGGATGATGGCAATTTGAATGTGATATTGGTTGGGGTCAAATTAGTTGTTGTACTTGTTTCGACTATTGAAGGCATAGTTGGGATGGGGTCCTTTTCTCCATCCCATTAATATTCTATTTAGATGGATTATTTTGGAATGTAGCTTAACTATTAAATCTTGAGTTTGGGTCTAGTTGTAATATTCATTTGGGCATTAAATTGTTAGAAAAAGCTTTTGACCCCTAGCACTAAGAATTGATATTACTAATAACAACTATGAGCAATTAAGTGTAGAGACTATAAGTATCAATAGATACTATAGGAGCATCGATAGGGCTATATTACATAGAAAGGTTATAATATGGAGCTTTCCTATTTGTCCCTGAACTACACCCATCTTGCCAGCTTCTTCTAGTGTGAGAGAGCAAATAAATCAATAGGTGGCAATTAGTATCCAATAATTGTTGGTCCTACCAAGAAAACTTTATCCTACTTGAGGGATTTAATCACTTCTTACCCTCACCATGAGATAATTCTCTTTAGCCATAAGTAAACCTATCTTGTTTTTTGTTGGCAACCTAGAGTTGATAGCATCCCTACCTTCCCTCAAACATAACCCTACTAGCATGGAACTAACACCACTTATATGCATCCAATCAAAAAAAGCCTTGAGGTCCCTTCCCTCTACATAGCCTACCTCCAAAATTGCTAATCCCATTAACACAACGATCAATTACCACTCAAACTTCTACTTTGCAAGCCACATGACTAACTAACCATAAGGCTCTTGTACCCACAACCAGCCACCCACACATCTGCATCTTTCTTCAATCGTTTCAAGGGAATCTTGACTAGAACCACCTTGTACCTATGAGAAGCCTAAATCAACCAACACTAGTGTGGACGACTTGGATGAAATCAAAGGGGATGATGACTAGAGATGTATAGATGATATGGTGGAGGAAAATGAAGTGAATAGAGAAGATAGGTAGGCTTCTATTGGTGAAACAACTTGGGCTAGAACCCGGCATTGGCCTAACAACTCTTTGGGCTAAGATCTATAGATCTCAAAAGCTCAAGCTTAAGTTGTTTGTAGTAGCTAGTCATTTATATATTAAACACACACTTCTTCCCTAATGTGGGAGTTGTGGCCTCACAATCTCTCACACTTAAATGCTAAATACCCTTATAAAGCCAAATCACAAGTAGAATAAGGCCCATGACTCATTAGTTCAAGACCTACCTTAAGTGATGTAAGATCTATACTACCATAGACCAAGATGGTTAGCATGAGCCCACATTACAAGAGATGAGCTCTTTGATACCAACTAAAACAACCAAGCTAAAGTCTACCACTAACATAATAACTCTTTAGGTTAAAATGCATCAGCTTTCAAAAACTCAAACTAAAATTGTTAGTAGTAACTGATCATTTATATATTAGATATACTTACACTTCTTCTCTAATGTAAGAGTCAGGGTATCACAATTAGAGAAGAGAAAACACTAAGGAAAGACTCATAGTGACTACCAGAGTGCCCACAAGAGTTCTTATAACATGACTATTTGATATAGGTATTTATAAATTGCTTCATCCACAAGTAACAAATAAAACTTTACTCTCAATGGTGAAGGGTGTGAGGCATTAAAATTATTTTGTATGTATCCCAAAACAGATGAGTTGATATAATTGGTGAATGAGAAACTAGAGTTAAGTTTTTTTTTTTTCTTCGGATTTTAGCTGTTGAGAACCTCAATTGAGATTATCTACTTTTGGCTGGGTATATTGTCTACACATTTTTCACGGTTACGGTGTACTTAATTAATCTCACTTGCGCACTCCTTGAAATTAACTTTTGAAATTAATTTCTCCTAACAATTTTTAAGTGTACACTCTATATATTGTTCTCGTATATTAATTTATTTTTAAATATTAATATTTTTTTATATTATTTTCATCTAAAAATTATATTAATTTATAATTAATTTAAAATCAAATCAAATCAAACCATAAAAAAAAAAAAATCATCTCACTGTTAACATTTTTATTTAAACCTTAAACTTAGTTTACAAAGAATACGCTGTCGAAAACCTTTTCCTCGAAGTCTTCTTTTTTTTACTCGGCCGTCTCCAAGTGTTCTTTGGTTCTTGAGAAATGTTAATAAATGTAGGAAAGAACAGTAAAGCAGTGGTCAGAAACCACAAACAACAGCCTTAATATAAAAGAACTTACAAAAAGGGACTGAACAAATTATACAACCCACACAATTTATATATTTTTCTTGAAAATGATAAATTGATTGAAGACAGGAAGCAGCTTTTCTTTGTTATAATTAAACCCACAACCCAAATTTCAGAGATATTTTATTTTGGTAATTTCCAAAATCCAGACTTTACTGATCAAAGGCTGTACTACCGGAACATGATATTATCATCAAAAGCATCCAACAAAAAAGATACAAATATTGTCTTGCAAAACCCCATCAGAGAGAACATTTTCTACTTTCAAGAGGGGTTAGGGAGTAGGGGCTGCATAGGACATATAATATGCATAGGACCCCCACATCCTGTTCTGTTATTTGTCCTCTGAATAAAAGCACTGCCATTTTCTCACCTGCTCTTTGCTTCTTTTTCACGTTTTGCAGTAAGAGATTGATGGATTCTCTAATGACTTTTTCATTCCTCAGAGAAGCCATACTTGCCCTTCCTGACACCCACAGTACAACTATCAAACTCTCTATTATCTGTAGTCTGTACAATGCAATTTATCATTATAGTAATTTTGATCCGTGAATTAATTGACAGAGAAATTCTTTCCATTATTGTGTTTGTTGGTCTCACCAAAAATTCCAAGAAATAAAAAGGTGAGTGTTTGGAGATCTCGAGAAAAAGTGATTGTGGCTGTGGAGGCGATGAATTGGAGGACAATGGACGTGACTCCCACTGGACTAGAAATGCCAGAGAAAGGTGTTTTACTTTTGTTTTTAATCTCTTTTAAACCCTAACCCTAAATTTTCTGAGTTCAGGATACACTTCCTTCGGCAACCTGCCTACCCTTCATTATATATACAAAATTAGTGGCCGGATCTAAAAAAAATTTAGGTAAAAAATTATTTAAAATTATGACATTTTAATAAATAATAAAAATTTAAAATAATTTTATTGTTATTTTAAAAATCATGATATTTTAGTATTTTTTAATAAAAATTTATTAAATGACATAATTTTAGAGTATTTTTCAACTTAATTTTTTGTAAGTCCCCATTGATCAATATTTTTGCCCATATGGAAATCTATGCTATTAGATGTTGATACTTAGATTTGAAAATCAATTATATATTTTAATATAATTAGTTTTCAAATTTAAATATTAACATTAAATAAGGTGAATTTCTAAATTTTGAATTG